AAAGATCCTTATTAGGTCAATTTTGGCCCAAGAGAACAAAATTCATCAAGTAAGAAATAAATTGTGTGGAGAAAGATCAAGAGTTGGAACTATGAAGCTGTATTTATATATAAGTTAGAAAGTTTAATTTAATCGAGCTCTGCTTTGCTTTTACTTCTCTTCATCTTAGCCTTGAACCTCGATTTCACCATCAATGTCTCTACTGTGTTTATGAAGTTTCCAATGGCCATCACAACCAGAAGAATGCCGCAAATCAACACCTGCCCCAGTATTCACGTTATCATAAGAAGACCATTTCGACAAACACTTCCACACACGTATTTCAGATAAGTTATATGCGAAACAAGGCCAACTACTAGAGACTCGATTGTCATATTCACAAGTTCCCAATATCGTTTTTCTTTACTGATTCTGCTCAACTATTGTCTACATCAAGTTTTTGGTTTGATCTAAGAGGTGTGTGAATATACGAGTTGGGAAGCATGCACAAATTCTGCCAGAAGAGAGAATCTAATACCTGCCATTCGGCGACTACCCCAGTTAATGCTGTCCTGAGCAACTGCAGTCCAACATATGCTTCAAATCCCTGAGTTTGTCATTAGATATATTGGAAGCATGTTAGGCACAATGGGATAAAGAAGCTTATGAACTAAACACATGCATACAAATTGTACAGCATCACATGATGAAGTTTTCTTTGGGTTAGTGGGAGTGAGCAAATATCTTTCATCATTCTCACAGTTAGTGAGTGTATCGTGAAGTTTGGTTAACTAAGCAAATGTCTTCAAAGATGTATTTGAGCTCTAAAATATATCCTTATGGAAGCCAAGTATAAGACTATTAGCTAGATTTCACCAAGCCAATCATACAACAAGACTGGCCTATAGTGTAGGAAAAATGAAGTCTTAAGATGTTTTAGCTTAACTGTGTAAATGATTTCGTGCAACTATAATAGAGTTATACCTGCAAAGTGAACAAAATAGGACATAATAGCCATAATTGCCCATCCACTCCAGCCGTTTCTCCCCACACAACGTCCATCCTCTTAGCCTGAAAATGACCAGAATACACATTCATATAGACATTTCATAGAGGCAGATAAAATTAGAACAAGAAAATTACATTTAGTACGGTACCTTTCCAAGTGCAATGCGAGTGTATAATCTTTGGCGCTGGTATCTATTTTGCAGAAGCATCGCAACACCTTGCATCATAGCCCATTGGAGGAAAAGACGGACTCCTTTCTGCAGATAATTTAGAATGATTCATAACCTTTTTTGGTAGATTTTACTCTGCATATATGGTAATAACCACTACCTGCTTCTGAACACAGTTTGGTTGACCTTTGATTTCCCAAGTGAGACTGACAAGGGCCATAGCCATGGCACAATAGTGATGATAAAGCCACCTGAAAAGTATATCGGCCCAGAGGTTTAAGTCATCTCCAACACACAGGAGGATATGTTGATAAGATCATCAGAGTATAACACAGTAAAATCAGTATAAATAACATGATGCACTTCAGAGGTTCAGATTATAATCTTAAGGGCGACTAATGTTTCTCATTATCCTCTAAAAAATATAGAGATCCAATTTCTACTTGACAACAAAAATAAACAACCTCTTCAATGCATCTCATACTTATATTCAGTACATTTAAGGGAAAATCAAATAGGTGAAACCTGCTGCATTACATTTCCTACAGATATTCCTGTAACCCACTCAATTCTAACGCCCCTCGTTCAGCAGTGCGTTCAATATAGGCTTAAAGAGGTACCAAAAACAGAGGCAAAACAAACAGGTTAGCAAAATATTGACCAGCTAAAATTAATTCGAGGAGTTGCTTGCAATCAAGCTAACACCCTAAAGTTAATAGTAATTTTCATGGGCCAGTAAAGAAGAGCATAGAGAAAAACACGAATCAACAGCACACATAATAGCTAACTAAATGAATCAGATAATACTGCACAAAGAAAGGAGCAACTTAATGAAATTCGAACCTAAAAACAAGATGTAGCATAACACACTAAAAACGCATCAATGAATCCGACGTTGTATCATGTGACTTTCAGAAACAGCATAACAAATGCATCAACCTAGAATACTTTCAAACTGATATCACTACCTAACTGCAACTCGAGAGATCATAATCTATTAAGAAGGGATGTGTTAAGAGTACCATGAACGGATATCACTCCCATTGGCTCTCAAAATGTTCTCTCGCATAGCCAAACCAGCATAAAGGAAAAGAAGCCAAGCCTGATTCAGTGGAGTTTACATGTTAATACAAGAACACAAAACACATAACAATGTTTCAAGTAAACTCAAAATACCTCATAGAGCTGAACAGGGAATGCAGGCAAACATCCTTCCCACACATAAGATCTTAAGGTCAAAAGTATTGCAGGGAAAACAAGAAAAAGAAGAGCAGTCCTATCCTGTTTCCATGGAATCAACAAAAAGCGATTATTACAAAGATAGAATCGACAATGAATCATCAATGGTGGTTACAAAAGAAAACACTACTAAACTCTGTAGCTATTGTATTCTTCTTTAACTTTAAGCTGAATATCTTTTCGTGTGGCTCGAACATTCACAGGTCCCAGAAACATTCTTACAAAGCGTCCTGCTTTCAATCATAAACAAAACTTAAAATTGAAACATTTCAAGAGTCACGCAAATGGATCCAATCAAATCTGAGATTTGAATCGGAATGAGAGCAAAACCTTGAGGTTTGAAAGGAAGAAAAGAGGAAGTGTCTCCATCTGCAAGCATACATCTAGCTCGTTGCAGATCTTCCTCTAGCTGCGGAACAAAAGGGCGACTTTGTAAACATT